TCTCAATCTCTACCAACATTCAAGCGTAATGTGGAAAATTACATTATCAGCTGTCGTACAATCATTTGAGCATAATAAGAGTTCAATATCGTATATTGTATTGTTATTGTTAAGATGTATCTGTATTTGAACACTCTATTCATAATTCAGTGATTGTAAATCTCAAACCTATTACATGTACTTAATATATGTGATTATGATGAATTGTATCTTGATGAAGTGTATATATTTTGTATTTGATATATGTATATATATATATAGAGGGCCCTGGGGAAGAATAGTGCATGCACTAACCAGGTTACCTTCTTAAAATAAAGTTTTATTATTATTATTATTATTATTATTATCAGTTTTGGGGGAAAATACGATATTATACACCTAACTGAAATCAAAAGATTTTCCCGGATTTTGATTAACTATCGAATATTGCTGATTTTTTTTTTTAAGTGTAATAATTTTTTACATTCTTTAAGAGTTTCTCTACTGTAGATGTCACACAATAAAACCCAAGTCGGTTCCCTTAAAAGAGTCAAAAATTTTATTTAAAGCCAAAAATGTCAATTTCTCTTAATGGAAATTACCTTCCAACCGCAATGCTTTAAAACTTCTGTAACGATACCCTCCTCCCCCCCCCCCCTTCAATTTTAACCTCAGTAATATCGGATTCATGGAAGACTTCAAAAATCATTATTCATCTTTGTATATGAACATCAAAAATCGAAAAATTGGTAATTTTCAGTTTAACCTTTAAAAAAATAATAATTAGCAGTGGCGAATTTAAGAGGGAGCCCCCTAAAATTGTCAAAATTAGAATAAATAAACATAGTTTTGTCGAGATATTAATGTTTAAAACGTCTACTCGCAGTACTTGGTAGACCTCATTTTTACCCTACAAAACCTCTAGAATCGCTTTTGGACAGATCTTTTCTCATTTTAAGTGACTATTCGCTTTTTATACAAGGGAAGAACAGACCTTAAATGTGGCTGCATATCAAACAAAAAAGTGTAAGAAAATGCTTTCAGAAGGGTCAAACATGCACATCGAAATCGTCGAAAATTCACCACCCCCAGCAGGGCTTCGCCCTGGACTCCAGCCTATTCAGGCGTCCAAATCACATGTACCCTGGCTACGCCCCTAAACAGAACGGTAAAACTATATACTTTTCCATCTAGCCTATTTAAAAAAAACGTGCGTATCCTGTGTTTGTGGTGTCGAGGGGGGGGGGTAGTTAATTTAAAAAGCTCCTATCATGAGCAAAACATTTATCAAAATCTTATTTTCATCATTAATTAAATTCTGTTTTTTCAGACTGGTAATGAATTAAGCATATAAAATGCATATAAGAGGTTCTGAGTCATACAGTGTAGGTCACAAGGTCACAGGGTCTTAGGATTCTTATACTCAATTTGATGAATACATGTTCTGTGTAAATTATAGAATTATTTTGACTTTTTCCTTGGAAATCCCAATATATAGGAGTGTGTATTTAGAGGCAAACGCATTTGTGCGGGTATTACTGTCTCATGACTGCATCTAGTTACTATTATTATCGAACAGTTGTTAAATAGTGTACGTATTGATATATAAAAAAAAATGTCACATGGATGAATGGATGTTGCGTTGTTACTTATTTGAAATTTTCCATTTAATTATGATTTAATTTCGAATGAAACACTCATTTAGATTAGTGATACCACACTGTTTTCATTATATAGACAATTCAATTTTTTTTTAGAAATGTTCTATTTCTCTTGTATTTTTTCAATTTTTTTAATCATCTGATCTCTATGTTCTTTTTAAGGTTATAAAATTGAACTGCAGAAGTCTCAGAATTGAATGCAAGAAGAAAATGAGAGACCAAGCTCTTTCTCTCAGAACTGTTAATGAAAAGAAACTGTCTACGTGATGTCTTTCAGTGCCACTGCTTCAAAATGGGTGGTCTAAATGTCAGCTTTATTTGTCATTATGCCTGCTGGGAATGGCGAGGGGATACGACCCCAAAGCCCTCAAAAGACTCAGCCAAATTGTGATATTGGTGACATTTTATATGTCAAATTTTTAAACAATGTTCAAAACGTTTTGAAATAAAACATGTATGTAAGAATGAAAATGTCCTAATGATTTTTTTATACAACTATTAGTGATTTTATCGTTCAATCATAGCTTTAATGTTCAATTTGTATTTGTTATTGGTTACTAATAGTACTGCCTCTTACGTAGAACTTTAAATTATTTTTGAATTACCTCTATTTGTTTTATTTTGCAATTAATTACAATAATGTCGATTTCTGCAAATTGGAATTTTTAGATTAAATATTCTTGAAGAATTATTATATATATCAAATATTTGAATGGTAAAAAAATAATGCAATAATGGATAATAATCAAATATTTGAATGGTGAAAAAATAAATGTAACGGTTTTATATTTACCTAGCTAGTTTAAAATTCCAGCCAGAATTTAAGGATATACCATACAATGTTGTAAGTAATCGTCCAGTGGATAACAATTTCGTTGTGCTTTACAGGTCTTGGTCTGTCTTGGTTGTAAATATTTTAAAAGGTCATTCTATGCATTGAATTTTTATTAATTGTAAAATAAGACGAACACCACAAACAGAAAGTAATGAAGTAAAAAGAAATGTAGATTAAGAAAATACAAAATCTGGAATGTCAAAATTGAATATCAATAAAACAATCCTTTCATAAATGTGAAGATTTCATTTAGCTATATGTACAAATATTGAAATAATACCATGTATTATGAAATACTGAAATGAAATAGGAGATATTGATCTAACTGAATAGTTTAAACTTTTTATATGTATTATATTATAGAATACAATGTTTGGAAAAAAAAACATAATTTGTAATATTTTATTGGACAATAGGATGGTATGTTTTGTTCGACAATTTATTTATTTTGTTGGTTCAATCAATATAGATGATCTTTATGAGTTGAAATCAACCGGGGATCATGAACATATAGAAATAAACAATAACTGTTCTATATAAACTTAACTAGCAAACTACATGTATTACAAATGTTCCTTTCATATACACGTACATGTCAACACAATGCGTTGTACAGAAAAGAATGGCCTATAAAAGTTTTTAAAAGTGATTTTCCCATTTCGTTTTATTCTTTTTATTCATTCATTTTTTTTAAGATAAAAATTTCATGTTAAAAAACAACTTTCAATTCAGAAAGGAAATCGTGACAGCTGTTACATGTCATTGTCAAAAATGTTTCGAATCACCTGATTTTTAGCGAAAAAATATGATTCTAAAGTTTATTTATATGTACTTAATCTTGTATTAATAAAATGTTAGAATTCATGCGTTAGGTCCATGACTTGCTGTATCCTCAAAAATGTTGTGGCTTGTATTTTGTTAAATATTTTTTTGTGTTAGGGATTTTCGGTAGGAATATAGAGTAGCTTGGTAATTCCCAGTAATCTGTTGACAAATCCCTAAGATCTTCCATGATATGTCTTTTCCTTTTCTAAGTGTGTGTCTCCTGATCATGGTGTACAAGATCTTGTAGATCATTTAGAGCTCTATGTGTTCTCACTGAGTCTACATACTGTAACACAAGACCTCTAACATGTGTTAGAGAACATAGATGGGGATGTATGATATTAGGTAACTGCACTGTAACCCTGACTGTTGTTCTAGCACTAGTTCATTAATGTAACAAATGTCATTGTTTGGAATAATATCCCATGCTACAGCCTTTCTCATCTTTGTAGACAGGAAAGTTTAAATACAGCTTTGATATATCTCTGTGGATTTATATCTCCCTTTAACAATACATATGGCTGTGCTAACTTGGCTTTTGTAGATTCTATAATATCTAAAACTTCCAAGTATTAGAATGTCTTGTAATAATACATAGCAATGTACAACATGTCAGAAATACACCCAAACTTGGCAGCTAATTTCAGCATGAAAAGGGACGTTTTGTCAGTTAAATATATCACTTTATTCTTACATAAATTATCCTCTTTGAGTGCTATGGAATCTTTTAAATCGTTAAGTAACATAAAAGCTGTGCCCTGGAGTACATAAGATGTACTCTTCCTTAAAAGTAATTTCTGATATTGTGTCAGGGGTAAATTGTGTCAACGGTATTCTTGGGGAATTTGAATTTGACTTCGCCCACTGTTTTGTCTGTGACTTTTGGCCCCCTCCCGCTTTCCAATGGAGAAACAGGTGTCACTCATGGCCTCCGCCTCCTATCATTGATGAAATAGTCCGAAAAGGGTGCCATTTTGTAGCAGTAGGGCACAAATTAGGAAATCATGCTGACAAAGAATGGAGAATTTCCTTCTCTTTGGCAGAGCAATATCTAGTTTCCTCTATGAATCATTGCCAATTCTTAACATATGGTCTGCTCAAATTGTTCTTGAAAGAATGCATCAACAGTGGATTAAGTGATGGGGATAAATTACTGTGTTCTTATCACATGAAGACAGCTGTTTTTTGGGTGATTCAACTAAACATAATGCCTTATTGGTGTCCCCAGAATCTCCTGCAGTGTTTCTGGGTCTGTTTTAAACTTATCCTGAAATGGGTGTATGAAGGCATTTGTCCAAATTTTTTTATTCCAGAAAACAACATGTTTCTGAGCAAAATTCATGGTCATGCACAAAAAGATTTGTTCATTAGACTCCATGGATTATATGAGAGGGGTTTATCATGCCTGCTTCACAGTCCATCCATCAGGTTCCATGTCATAAGTGTCCTTGAAAATCCTAGGCATTTTGATTATACATATGAATTAAGAAATTCTAAGTTGGTGTTGGAAGTAGATTTATTCGGCGAAATACATCGCAATTTTCAACCTATATTTAACCTACACCACTGTATGAAGTTTTTGAATGCTTTAAGAAGGTTGATAATTTTACCCCTGACACAATATCAGGAATTATTTTTAAGGAAGTGTACATCTTATATACTCCAGGATACAGCTTTTATTTTACTTTACACTTTAACAGATTCCACACCGCTCGAAGAGGATAATTTATGTAGGAATAAAGTGATACATTTAACTGACAAACCATCGCTTTTCATGCTGAAATTAGCTGCCAAGTTTGGGTGTATTTCTGACATGTTGTACATTGCTATGTTTTATTACAAGACATTCAGATACTTTGAAGCTTTAAATATCATAGAATCTACAAAAGCCAAGTTAGCACAGCCATATGTAATGTTAAGGGGAGATATGAATCCACAGGCCTACAAGGCTGTATGGAAACTTTCCTGGTCTACAAAGATGAGAGAGGCTGTAGCATGGGATATTATTCCGAACAATAAAATTTGTTACATTAATGAATTAGTGCTAGAACAACAGTCAGGGTTACAGTGTGGTTTACCATTATTACACATCCCCCTCTATGTTCTCTTACACATGTTAGAGGTCTTGTGTTACAGACATGTAGACCCAGTTAGAACACAAAGAGTTCTAGATGATCTACAAGATCTTGTACACCATGATCCGGGTACATACATATCCGAAGAACAAAAAGACATATCATGGGAGATCCTAGGGATTTGTCAACAGATTACAGGGAATTACCAAGCTGCTCTGTATTCCTACCAACAATCCCTGAAACAAAACATATTCAACAAAATACAAGCCGCTACATTAATGAGGATACAACAAGTCATGGACCTAATCCATAGAGTCTTACATTTTATTATTACATGTAGTTCTTTGAGTACATGTAAATAAATTTTAGAATACGAATTTTTTGGTAATAATTCAACGATTCAAAACTTTTTTACAATGGTAAGAAGCAGCTGTCACAATTTTCCTTGTGAATTGAAAGTCGGTTTTTAACTTAAATTTTTTTATCTTCAAAAATTTAAACCAGAGGCTCACGGGCCTTATAAGTCACCTGAGTAACATGTAACAACTTTCCAACAACTGCATTTGGTTTGACTGTTTTAAACTAAAAGCCTTGAAATTCACAATTTTGAAAGAGGCACCACTGTTTATCATAACTATACACTTAGCATGCTTATTTTGGTTACTTAATACCCAAAGGCAGACTCAGTCTATAACAGAGAGAAAATGCATTTCCACTTTATAACCACCAGTTGTGCACACCAACCCAAAGGAACCACTGACCCTGGGGTCATATATTTCAAAATTTTGGAAATTTTATAAATTTCATTTCATCAGAAATGGGTGATTAATATCAAAGAGAAGATTTCAAAGTATTGCTTTATTTTCAGACTATGTACCCCCCCCCCCCGCGTCTGCAAAACCCCTAACGCAGGGGCCCTGAAATTAACCATTTTGGAAAAGGCATCTTTTTTCATCATAAATATATATTTAGATCATTGGCATTATACCAAAGAGCAAAGAAAAAGATTTCCAAAAGATTCATGTGTTTTCACAATATAATAATTATAGAGTCCCGCCCTAACACCAAATTGGGAAGCTGCATCCTTCCTCATCATAACTATAAATATAGTTCATTGGTTTTATACCCAGGAGCAAAGGAGAAGATTTTTAAAGAATTTATGCATTTTCACTGTATAATCAACAGAGCCCCGCCCTAACACCAGAACCTCTGACCCTGGGGCCATGAAATTCATAATATTGGATCTTTCATCATGTTCTTATTGTATTTTTTTCTAAAAACAAGAAATAATCAGTTCACATTGTCAGTGCAATTGTTCTATATTGTACCTTAACAGGTTCCTAAGGATTGGGGCTGAAAATCGAACCACAGATTACAGCGATTAAAAATCATTAATAAGATACGAAACTTCCTTCCTATATTCTGCATATTCCCGCATCCCAACACGATCGTCCTTTCTCCACCGTTCATCGTCAAAGCGGCCTTGTGGTAGGGCGCTCGCTTTGTGATCGTCAATCGTTAACGTAAGAGAAGTCCATAATACTTACATTTTCCTACGGGTATTTTAATTAAGACCATAAATCCGAGGTCTCTTTTCGCAAAAGAAAAATTCCAAAATAATGTATCCAAAATAAATAGTTAAATTTTTTAATCTGCATATGCCTAGTATATAATTGTAAGGTTAATTTTCAATTTATTCTAAATGTGCAGTATGAACATTGATAAGTTGTGGGTTAGATGTAAGTATCCAGTTCATATGTAAAACAAGTAAATCTCGTTAGTTATGGAAGTACCGAGCTGATATTAAGGTATCATAAAGATAATTGACCAATAATGAAAATGAACGTTGTAGTTCCTAATGTATAAAATTATAATTTTTGTTCTTTGAATTTTCCTTCCAGTCTATTCTTTTTACAATATTGGTAACTGTGCCAGGTGCAAATTTACATACTTTGTAAAGAAATAAAGGTTTATGTCAGGAACAAATATGAAGCTACTTCTTGGTGACAGAAGTTTAGCTTTAAAAATAGGATACACCTCCTCTGATCTGCTTCCGTTAATTGTTTTTGCTAGTTTTATTGGGGAATATCACTTGGTGATTAGCATTATTTGCATACTGTTATTCAAGAAAATTCACTGGAAGTTCAAAAATAAATGAATAAATAAATAAAAATGTACACGTACAAGAAAAAATATCCAAGAAATGGAAAAAAAAACTTTAAATTATTTAAGTAAATAAAATTGATGGGAGAAGAAAATTCCCTGGAAAATTCTCATAAATTTTCTCATGACTTTTACATTTAATCAAAAGTTCTTAATTCTTAGTGCTGAAATTAGAATGTGTCAGATTTTTATGCAACTCGACTTTTTGACTAGGAAACTTTTTTCTCATATATTTATATAGAAACTACAGCTACATGTAGTAATTACGTGCAACTAAATTTACAGTAAGCTGTCTGAGTGACCTTGTAAGGGGGGTTCATATAATTCAGATCAATCTTCATTATATTGTAGATAGATTGATTTATTGTTTGTTGTTTAACGTCCTCTCAAGATTTTTTCACACATGGAGACGTCATCGTATGCCGGTGAAGGGCTTCAAATTTAGATTTATACTTGACACTAAGGGCCATTAAGCAGTAGGGTTCTTTAACGTGCCAACGCCTACCGCGACATGAAACCTACATTTTTAAGGTCATACCAAAAAGACTCGTGGCTTTCACTTCTAATACCGAGCGTTTAGCAAAGGAACAGTCACTATCTATGTTCACATCTTAGTTTGACGCGGCGCCGCGAACGAGAATAGAACCCGGTCCTCACGTATTATATTGTAGATGTAGAAATCTAAATTTTAAGCACAACTGCTGTGTTCATTGATATCGATAAACGTCGTTATGGAAGGCAACTAAATTTAAGATAAAATGATGTAGAAATCTAGAAATTATTTATTTTACACACTAAAACAAGTAGATTAATTTACTCAAGGGATTTCCTCTTCTAATTGAAGAATTCTTCCTCTTTCCTGAACATAATGTGAAAATGGCTTCTTATAGTTGGAGGTAAGTATAAAAATGAGATTTGTATATGTTATTATGAATATGATTATAACCACGCATTTCTTAAGATTCTAAACTTTAATGATGTAAATCTTGAGGACTGTTGGAAAGTAAAAATGATTACGACCTGTATTCTTATAGGCCTTGATACACATTAACGCAATAGTTATATGTATCATATACCGCCAATATATACCTAAAATGTTAATTTTTAAAACTATTGCCCTGTCTCTAATTATTATTGGATTCAAGTGTGAATCCGAATGCCCGGCGTGATATATATTCAAACTTATCACATTAAAGAGACACTACCAAAAAAAACCCTGTTAACTAAATTATTTTCATGCAAAATTAACAGGGTATTCAATCTTTTTTTTAACAGTAATTTGGGTATCCAGCATTTATCCGAGTCTGTGTTTGTGGGACTATGTCACAAAGTTGGGACCTCTCAACAAGTGACCATGAGGAGAGAACTGCTAGACATGGACGAGATGGTGAAAAATCAAGCAATTTTTACAAGTGAAAAAACGATAACGATAATAAGTGGCAGTTTTAAGGAAGGATTCAGGCTAATGGAGTCAGATATAGACTTGATGATCTGGCGAAAAGACCACAATATAATCTGGGACTTGGACCAGGCTCAGAATTATGGCTTAAGCAGAAAAACACTGATTCTCAGTGTTTGTTCGGAAAGTCCACCTGGATTTGCTTTACTGGAATTATTGACAGAAACTGGCAATGAATCTACAGAGAATGCATGCATAAGAATCAATGACAGACTCTATATATCAAGTTCTGAATTCAGAAGAATAAAAAATTCTGCTTATATTCCTGATTCTATGGAACATGGTCCTTGTGTCAACGGTATTCTTGGGGAATTTGAATTTGACTTCGCCCACTGTTTTGTCTGTGACTTTTGGCCCCCTCCCGCTTTCCAATGGAGAAACAGGTGTCACTCATGGCCTCCGCCTCCTATCATTGATGAAATAGTCCGAAAAGGGTGCCATTTTGTAGCAGTAGGACACAAATTAGGAAATCATGCTGACAAAGAATGGAGAATTTCCTTCTCGTTGGCAGAGCAATATCTAGTTTCCTCTATGAATCATTGCCAATTCATAACATATGGTCTGCTCAAATTGTTCTTGAAAGAATGCATCAACAGTGGATTAAGTGATGGGGATAAATTACTGTGTTCTTATCACATGAAGACAGCTGTTTTTTGGGTGATTCAACTAAACATGATGCCTTATTGGTGTCCCCAAAATCTCCTGCAGTGTTTCTGGGTCTGTTTTAAACTTATCCTGAAATGGGTGTATGAAGGCATTTGTCCAAATTTTTTTATTCCAGAAAACAACATGTTTCTGAGCAAAATTCATGGTCATGCACAAAAAGATTTATTCATTAGACTCCATGGATTATATGAGAGGTGTTTATCATGCCTGCTTCACAGTCCATCCATCAGGTCCCGTGTCATAAGTGTCCTTCAAAATCCTAGGCATTTTGATTATACATATGAATTAAGAAATTCTAAGTTGGTGTTGGAAGTAGATTTATTCGGCGAAATACATCGCAATTTTCAACCTATACTTGACCTACACCACTGTATGAAGTTTTTGAATGCTTTAAGAAGGTTGATAATTTTACCCCTGACACAATATCAGAAATTATTTTTAAGGAAGTGTACATCTTATATACTCCAGGGTACAGCTTTTATGTTACTTAACGGTGTAACAGATTCTATACCGCTCGAAGAGGATACTTTATGTAGGAATAAAGTGATATATTTAACTGACAAACCATCGCTTTTCATGCTGAAATTAGCTGCCAAGTTTGGGTGTATTTCTGACATGTTGTACATTGCTATGTTTTATTACAAGACATTCAGATACTTTGAAGCTTTAAATATCATAGAATCTACAAAAGCCAAGTTAGCACAGCCATATGTAATGTTAAGGGGAGATATAAATCCACAGGCCTACAAGGCTGTATGGAAACTTTCCTGGTCTACAAAGATGAGAGAGGCTGTAGCATGGGATATTATTCCGAACAATAAAATTTGTTACATTAATGAATTAGTACTAGAACAACAGTCAGGGTTACAGTGTGGTTTACCAGTATTACACATCCCCCTCTATGTTCTCTTACACATGTTAGAGATCTTGTGTTACAGACATGTAGACCCAGTGAGAACACAAAGAGCTCTAAATGATCTACAAGATCTTGTACACCATGATCCGGGTACATACATATCCGAAGAACAAAAAGACATATCATGGGAGATCCTAGGGATTTGTCAGCAGATTACAGGGAATTACCAAGCTGCTCTGTATTCCTACCAACAATCCCTGAAACAAAAAATATTCAACAAAATACAAACCGCTACATTAATGAGGATACAACAAATAATGGACCTAATCAATAGAGTTTAACATTTTATAAATACATGTAGTACACTGAGTACATGTAAATAAATTTTAGAATAAGATTTTTTGGTAAAAATTCAAAACTTTTTGACAACGTGGTAAGAGGCAGTGTTACAACGCACTTTGAAAAATTACGCACTTTGAAAGAAAAATTCAAAGTGCGTTAAATTTTAGACCAAGCTAACACACTTTCAAAAAAATAAAAGAAAATAATATCGACCATATTAACGCACTTTGAAAAAAAAAGCTCGATCAATGTTCTTACAAATAATTGGTATAATATATAATTGACCATGGTTGGATGACTTGTTTTTTGTGATTAGGTCACTTCAGGACATGAAGTATTGAATATTTAAATATTTTAGGTTTTGATAAATGTTATAAAGGGAAATGGGTCTTCAAGAAAAAATAGAGAGATGATTGTTTTATATCATTATCCATTTCTAGTCTGTAATAAGTAGATGTAAAGGGGTGTGCTAAAAGTGAACGACTTAAAGCATTGAATTTATTTTAAGATAAAGAGGACAAATTGATTTTTCAAAACTATTAAAGTTCTTTCTCTCTCATGAATACGTTTTACTATGCTTAAAATTTTCTAGTTTTCATCTGTTTTATGTTAACTCATTTATTGAAAGTTTTCAACATCATACAAGTTACATATGCACATATATATGTTTTTGTTTGGGGTATAGCATAGGCATTGGAATCAGGCGGAGGGCAAGGGGAGGGGGGGGGGGCTGAGCCTTCCACTTATTTTGGAAAGATATACATCATATAAGCATTGAAAATGCGGCCTACCCTTTTTGGGGTTTATTACTACCCTCCACCGTTTTAATTGTTACTGACGCCTGTGTATTGGAATGATAAAGATTTGGACTGAGAGATCTTCTATCCGTCTTCTCCACTTCTGGACGGCAGTTAATCAATGCATAAGTTTTTTGAAAGATAAATAACTAATAAAATCTTTCCATTACTAAAATCTGTTTTTAACAAAAAATTTTTCTAAGTGCGTTAAGGGTCTCCATGGTAAAATACATTGATGTAAACTTTTAACGCATTTTGATTTTTTTTTTCAAAGTGAGTTGATTTTGTCCCAATTCTAACGCACTTTGAAAAACTTTTTCAAAGTGCGTAATATTTTCAAAGTGCGTTGCCACAAGGCGGCTATCACAATTTCCCTTGTGAATTGAAAGTTGTTTTTTACGTTATTATTTCATCTTAAAAATTTAAATAAATACATAAAAAGAAAAAATAAAGGGGAAATTCAAATTTTCAAAGTTTTGTAGACCTTTTAATGCTTTATTATGCATTGTGTTTATATAAAAGGAAGTTTTGTAATAGGTTTGGTAGTAAAGTTCATATAACATGAGTGACGTCAACGAGTACCCGGTTAACCGGGTACCCGATTGAGTGTCCGAGTATCGAAAATACTAAAATTGGTAATCGGTTATTCGGATGTATATTTTTCATCTTTCAAAGAAGACATTTTTATTTGAAACTTCATGCAGTCATGCAAATGCAGTATGCACTGTCCATGTATTTACAGTAATTAGTGTCATCTCAGGTGCGGATCCAGAAATTTTTACCAAGGGGGGGGGGTCCACCCAAGTAAAAAAAAATCCAATCCCAGAAATTTCTTGACAAGCAAAAAAATAAAAATAAGAAGAGAACCTGAAATCGCCCAAACGTCAAAAACCTATTTCTCATTTCATATTCTGCATTATAAAAAACAATCATAATTATATATTTTAATATTTTATGCTGATTTAAGAATTTTAGTTCTCGGGGGTTGGGGGGGGGGGGGGTAAGTGGGACCTCGGTTACGGAAAAAAAATTGAACACAGTAATGCTAGTAAATCATGGATCATTATGATCACTTTGAAAATATGAGAAAAAAAATTTTTAAAAGAAAAAAGAAAGAGGATGATGACCAAACCAATAATAAAAAGTGTATTTAAAGTGAATAAATGTAGAGCGCGACAAGAGCGGATTTAGACAGGGCTCACTACAGTTCCAGAGAGAGAGAGAGAGAGAGAGAGAGAGAGAGAGAGAGAGAGAGAGAGAGAGAGGGGAGAGAGAGAGAGAGAGAGAGAGAGAGAGAGAGAGAGGGAGAGAGAGATAGAGAGTTGCTGATAATTGGATTTTTTGCAACCTTGATTAAATTGCAAATGAGCTCGAGTATTTTATAAAACTTATGCAGTCTTTGCTACTGACATGCATAGCCTGATACATAAAAGGGGGGGGGGTGGGAGTTCAAAATATTTTGAACTTTTTAGAGTTTCAATTTCAAGTAGATGGACGGTCGGTTATCTTTTACTCTCTACGATAATAACAGGGTAAGTGAACACTTGTCAAAACAAAAGAGTAACAAAAAATAAACTGAAAACATATCAAGTGATCTATAAAACAATTGTCGTACATTTACGATGAACCACAAATAGCCACGTTGTGACCGTGCAGTATATTTGTTTTCAAACATTCCGAATGATTTATAACGGAATCATCATTTTAATACGAAATATAATCTCACATTACCAAATCCGATAGGTAAAGACGTCTACTTTAATATACACATGTGCA